GGGAGAGAGAGAGAGGGGACTGGCGATGGGAGGGAGGAGAGAAGCCTCCAACTCCCGATACCTCAGGCGGCTATGGCCGCCGATACACTCAGTCGCCACTGCTGCTGCTCCGCTCGCTGCTGCTGCGCTAATGCTGTGCTGCGCTGCTCCTCACTCCTGCGCTAAACATAGCGCCAGCGCTGTTTCGCGCTGTACCATACCGTACCGGTAGAATGCCGGTAGGTCGATAGCCTCAATGAGGCTGGACCGGTACTTTTGTACTGGTGGGGCAGAGGCCAGCCTCAATGCTGCGAGGCCTGGCCGTGCCCTGAACCGTCAAGATGGACGGTTCAGCCCCAACCGGCGGACCGCAGCCCCAAGAGCGCCGCCAGGCCCAAACGGTACTGTCGTTTGGGCCTGCCTGTCGGGTCTGGTCCAAGGTAAGGCCTTTACGGCCTGTAGTACCTCCAAGGTCGGGCATTTAGGCCCTAATATGTCCCTCTAACCCTAAGTCGGGTCCGGTAGGACCCGTGTGGCGTCGAAGATGTAACACACTCCCCCTCTTAAAAGACCGAGCTACCTGCAAGGGCGAAGTTGTCTGTCCGATACCGGGGTGGGTCGGGCGGGACGAGCTGCTTCCTTAGCAAGGCGTCGCTTCTCATAGTCGGCGAAGATAAGGGGTGCAAAAGTCTGCAAATCTGTACTGGAGATCCATCGAGTGTCATCAGGCGCACATTGCTTGAATGTGACTTTGAACTGCATTGGCTTGTTGCCATACTTGCGATGCGTGATGACTCGGATACTTCCTGATGTCCATCCATAGAAGGCGGATCCTCTGATCGATTGCCGGGAAACTCGTCGGCAGGAGGTGGCGTGTAGATGGCCAGCTTCGACGCGTGGAAGACCCGGTGCACTGGAAGGTGCGGAGGAATGTTGACCACAAAGGAAGGACCTGTGGGGTCGTCTCCAACGGCAGAAGTGATTTCCCATGGTCCAAACCATTTCGGAAGGAGTTTGCGCGAAACGTCCTGCTCAAGCGCAAATTCCTCGGAGAGGACCCAAACAAGGTCTCCCTCGCGGAAAGGACATGGAAGTCGACGTCGGTTAGCCTGCTGCTGCATGCGGATCTGAGCCTTTTGCATATTCGCGCGGGCTTTGATCAGCAAGTCCCAGTACTTTCGAACGGAAGCGGGAGAGCAAGGGACGTCTATGTCGGCAGCCTGTGGCAAAAGGAGATCAGCGAAGATTCGTGCTTTCTCTCCACCATGATGTATCTCGAATGGTGTGATGCAGATCGCTGGATGCACCGAAGTGTTATAGGCGAACTCGATGTCGGGAAGCCGGTCAACCCAATCTTTTTGGTCGGGACGGATGAGCGTACGCAACATCATCTGAGCGGTCTGGTGCGCTCGCTCCGTCTGGCCATCCGTCTACGGGTGCCAAGCCGAGCTCGGCTTCATTGTCGTACCGGACTGAGCCATGAGGGAAGTCCAAAAGCCGACATGAAGCGAGTATCTCGGTCGCTCACTATGTCTTCCGGAACACCCTGGTTGGTAATCCAACCGGTGTGCAAGAGTCGTGCGAGCTCAGGCGCTGCAGCATGATACTTGCAAGGAAGGAAGCGAGCATACTTGCTCAAACGGTCAATGACCGTGAGAATACCGTCATGGCCGTGGCGATCGCGGGGAAACGGGCCTGTCACGTCCATAGCAATGGAGAGGCGTGGTGCCCGCGGAATCGGCAACGGTTTCAGTTCGCCGAAGGGGACTCGAGATCGACCCTTGTTACGGTGGCAAACTGCACATGACTCAATGTACCTCGTGACGTCATGAAGGACGTCGGGCCAGTGAAAACGCTGGCGGAGGCGTGCTAATGTGCGGTTCACGCCAAGGTGTGTCGAAAGTCGTGCGTCGTGGAATTCGCCCAGAAGACGAGTCCGTAAGATGCGATCTTGGGGCACAACTAGCAAGTCGTTTCCTCGTGTGAAGGAAAAGGAACCCGTCGGAAATCCGATAGTGGCTAGCCGGCGGGTGATCCGATGAAAGCTCCGCGTAAAGCGTAGAGTAAGTCGGATCGGACTTATAGCCTTTGACGAAATGCGGCTGCAGATCGTCATCGAGGTCGAATGCCGTGGTCACAGTGGCACAAAAGTCGGGCCATCGTGAGAGGGTGTCCGCAGCTCGATTGGCGGGACCGGGAATGTGGCATGGGTAAAAATCGAACTGGTCGATGTAATACACCTATGGATTGATCATGCTAGTGACCGTGTCCTGCGTTTTGTAAAAGGTCAACGGATTGTTATCCGTATTCCATTCAAAATGTCGCCGGCCAAGAAGAAAGTGGCGCCACCGTTTGAGAACGGTGACGAACGCGAGCAGCTCTTTCTTCCTAGCGTCATCGAGAGTGTTGACAGGAGGCACCTTTTGGGAGAAATACTCGACCGGATGCCAACCGTCCTCGTGACACTGTTCCAACACCGCACCAATACCGTATCCCGAAGCGTCCGTAGTCACTTGGGTGGGTAGGGTGGGGTCGTATATACGGAGGGCAGGTGCGGCTTGCATTGCTGCCTTCACCGTAGTGAACGCGCCACGGGCTGCGTCGTCGAACTCGAAGGGCACCTTCGGGGACTGAAGTCTCGACAAAGGAGCAGCCACTTTCGAGTGTGACTCGATGAATCGCTGATAATATCCAGCCAAACCCATGAAAGAGCATACATCCATCGTGCAACGGGGTTCCGACCAATCCACGATGACTTGGATCTTGTCCGCTAAGGGACGAATGCCTTTCGGCGTGACAAAATGACCCAAGTACTCAAGCTCGTGCTTGGCGAATTCGCACTTATCGAGATTCGCTTTGTACTTGGCGAGTTGCAAACAATCCAGAACAACGCGAAGGTGTATGATGTGCTCGTCCAACGTCCTACTATAAACCAAGATGTCTTCAAGGTAGATGAGGACGCTGCGATCGAGCAAGTCGCGAAACTCAGTCGTCATTGCTGCTTGGAAAGTTGCGGGGGCATTGGTGAGGCCAAAGGGCATGACAACCCACTCAAAATGCCCGTACCGCGTCTTGAACGCGGTCTTGTACCGGTCTTGAGGTTGGATTTCAATCTGGTGGTAACCTGACTTCAAGTCCAACTTCGAGAAGTACGTCGTGCCGCCTAACCGCTCAAGAAGATCATCAATCCGAGAGAGAGGGCCGGCGTTCTTTACGGTTTGTGCGTTAAGTTTCCGATAATCGATGCATAACCGTAGATCTTTGTTCTTCTTCCGGACGAAGAGAACAGGTGCACCGTATGGCGAGCAACTAGGGCGAATCCAGCCCTTGTCGAGAAGGTCATCGAGTTGTGCGCGAAGCACCTCGAGTTCCTCTTCGCTCATGCGGTAGATACATCCACGCGGAGGGACGCCAGCCTCGAGAGTGATCCCATGACGTATGGGCCGATCCGGAACCGTTCCGGTGGGAGCCTCGAAGACGTCTCTATACTCGTCCAAGAGGTGAGAAATGCGTGGGTCCGGCGGTGACGCGGCTGGTCCGTCCGGCGAGGGGAGAGCATGCAAGAATACAAGGCCCATCTCCTCGACGTCATTCCGAGCAATGGCGTCACGAATTCTCGCAACGGAAACCACGTGACAAGCAATCGAAGTGTGAGGGGTCGCGACCGTACATGGGACTAACACTCCGTTCCGATCACGGGTGTGNATTCTCGCAACGGAAACCACGTGACAAGCAATCGAAGTGTGAGGGGTCGCGACCGTACATGGGACTAACACTCCGTTCCGATCACGGATGTGAACGGTTCGGTCATGAAAGTTCACCGGATGATCGGCGCTACGCAACCAAGACATGCCTAGAATCATGTCGAACTTGGTGTCGAGGATGTCAAAAGACACCGGCTCGCACGCAAGTGGCGCAAGTATACCGGAACGTCGTCGACGCATCGGTCAATTGACTTTTGCGTGCGGCCGACCGCGAGTGTGACTTGCGTGGGTTGCGTCTTCCTTCGAACGCGCGGGCCATAAAGGCTTGGCTCATAAAGTTGCGAGACGCTCCGCAATCAATCAACGCACTACAGGTTGACATTCCGATTTGAATGCGGATATAGAGCAAAGGCGCGCCGGTTTCGGCGTACCTTTGGGTGGCGTACTCGCGGTCAATCTTCGCAAGATAGGAGCGGAGATCGACAACCGCTACTCCGTCGTCCGTCAACGGAGCTGGTACTGTAGTGTGCAAATAGGAGCGTAGATTTGCCATCAAGGCGTTGCAATGCGGCCTTGGCAAGGTTCCGGTCGAGGGTAGAGGCATCCAAGCGAAGTCCTCTCTTGTGAGCGGGTCAAGCTCCTCAAGTCTTGACCACGCCGTCGTCCTCGAAAGTCAGTGGCGAGCTGACCGGATCTCTTGCCGACGGTTTACAGGCTGCGCATACGCTAGCTAAATGCACGTGGCTCGGCTGGTCTAATGGTGGTACCAGCTTGGCGGCATAATCCTCGTACGTAGCACGAAAATCAGCGACTAACGCATGCTCCCCGGTAGTGACATCGATTGCTAGCAAGGCAACCGGTTCCGGCGGAGTGAGGAGAGACGTCGCCCCTCTCCTTGCGTAACTCAGTTTCCCGAGTTTGCTGGTCGGGGTACGCGTGTCTTGCCCTTTTCGGGGCATTGTGCGGTCAAATGCATGACGCCGTTGCACCAAAGGCAGTATCCGTACTTTTGACGAAGGTCATAGACATCCTTGGTTATCTTGTAAGCCGTCCATGGCTGCTGCCCAGTTCCCATCGATGCCATCTCTTATGTCACCTTGTTCTTCCGAACTTTCTTGGGACGCTTCGGCAGGAGCGCTGCTACAATTCCTCCATCACTCGAGGATGTTGCTGCAGCGTGGAGATCGTCTGTTTTTTCAGAAATCACGGCATTGTTATGTGTCGGACGTTGATAGCCCTGCTTAGCCACATAATGCGGCTGGGATTGTTTCTCGTTAGCGGCCTTGTCGTCCGTTTCGATGGCCAGGTTTGCGCGATCCAAGATAGCCTGGAACGAGGTATAGTCGTACTCGTTACCGAGAGCCGACTGCAATCCTGCACACGATCGCGAGAAGAACTTGGATTGTTGATTAGGAAAACTCAAATCGAAGCCTGGCGTGGTCACTATCTTCTGCAACTTGGTTGTCCAGTCTCGAGTTGGCATACTCCCTTGAGAGCAGGTGTACACCTCGTTCATGGCCGCCTTCACGACGTTGTGGACCATGAACCGGGTGAACTATAGCTTCTCGAACTCTTTCCACGTGAGGTGCGTGTGGAGTTCGGCGATGGTGCATTTGTGGGTAGTCGCCAGATGGTTCATCCATGCCTGCGCTCCTCCAATCAGTTGTAAGTATAGCGCCTTCATCATGTCGTCGGCCGGGACAGTGCGGCATGATGCTTCCATGAGGAAACGTTGCCACCATGCCAAAGCGTCCGTGTTGTTGTGGTCGTTGAACTTGCTGATGTCGAAGTGCGGCATCTTGCAATTCTTCGTGGCGGCGTCCGGTTTCGTCTGCAGCTTGGTGATGTCCGTCTTGATGGCGGCCACCGTGCTACTGGTCGTGTCCGGCCCATTGAAAACACCTATGTCGCCGATGAGATTGACAACATGATCGATGCGCCCATTGAGCTGCTTCGCCATGTCTGTCATATCTGTCGTGCAGCCTGGCGCTGCTTGGGGAGGCCTTACCTCCAAGGTAGCAATGCGTGCATCTAGCTGTTTCAGCTGGTTGTCTGCGACCTTGACAGCTGCTGCAAGTATCTTCACCTTGTGGCTCAGATCGAGCTGAAGCTGCAGTGTGGACTGGGAATGCAGCTCCCCCATGGTGCTGCTCCAAATGACGGCGCGCAATGTAGGGAGTAGAATATCTGCCAGGTCTTGCCTCTCCTGCTGTACTGTTGTCGGCTCGCTGCCGGGTACCGGGACATAACGCATCCCGTTGAGCACCGCTGTCCATTGTGCTTGGTTAGCACTTACAAGTTCAGCGCTGCCGGCGTTGAGCTGATGGATCGCCAACCAGTCTGCCTCGGCTTGACGCCGGGTTTGTGCTGCAGCTTCCTCTGCTAGTCGTAGTCTTTCGGCTGCGGCAGCCTCTTGCTGTTCCTTGACCTGGGTGAGTGCGGCTGTATAGTCCTGCATTCTCTGAATGAAGTCCGGGAGGGGCTCATTCGACCCTTGCACCGGACAGACCGGTAAAAGTTCGGCATTACTAGCTGTCGAACCCTCGGATGATGATCCGCTGTGTGGCGTGTTCGCCATCTGAGTACTGGTCTGTGGTGGTTGTTGAGCTGGAGGTTGCTGTTGCTGTTGCTGTTGGCAATCGGCGATCCGCTTGCTGCGTCGTGGCTGCTGTTCGGAGGCTGGCCCTGCTAGCATCAGGAACTGTTGCTGAAGGCTGGCTTGTCCGAAGGATCGCAAAACAGTGAGAGGGAGAGGGTGGGCTCAGGGATGGAACAGATCAAGCAATAAACATACAGTCCCTGTCCCAAGGATGGACTAAGACACCTAATCAAACAAAAAAAATCAATTTTCCGTAAACAATTCGAAAATTCGTAATAAGAAGAATAATAACGAATTATTTAATGAATAATTAATGATTAATACGAAAGAATAATTCTTAGTGCTAATCAATAAACAATCTTTGCAATAATGATTTCTTAACGATAATCAATTAAAACAATATTTGCAATAATGATAATGAGCGAATTTGAATTGTTATCAAGATCAGGTATCTATTGAGATCATCTTTGAGTCCGAGAGTTCACCGTTAATTAGTGAACTACCCGGAAGTTGCAATACTGAGGGTCAGAGTCGGATTAGTTTGCCAAAAAAAAAAATTCGGACAAAAAATCAGGAAAAAAACACTCGAATTTCCAAAAAACGAGAATTTTTGAGAATTTCCACCGTCAAAATCCGATTTTTAAAGGCCTAAACCCATTTTAAGAATTTCTCAAACAAGGGGAACGAAAAAAAAATTCGCGAAAATTTCAGTCCCAACCCTAATTTTCCGCGTTTCGGCGGAATTTCCGGATTTAAGGTCCCAAAACGTTCGAATTCCCCAAGCTGATTGAAAACCAAAAAAAAAATTCGTAACCCTAATTTCCGATACTGAAGGAAAATGGAAATGCCAAAAGAAAAACGAAATATAGGATGTACAACAGAATGCCGATTGAGCATATATGCAGCGGAATTCTGATAAACGGACCGACTCACATAGACTTGACTCACATAGGTATCACTCCACACATACAATCATGAGATGGTGGGGTCTGGGCCAAGCATAGACGATGCCCAGATCCCGTACACACATGCACAGATGGAAGGTGGGAGGCGAGACGAAGGAGGTGGGGGAGGTAGACAGCACCGATAGGTCACCAAGATAGAATCCGATAGGTCACCGATATGGTAGTCCAAAATGTCATCCAAC